AAGACCAGTAACACTTTTTAAAGTATTATTTAAAAATACTTACACAGAGATGTATATTACTATTAAGTCATAATTTCTACTTAGCACATAAAAAATAGGACAATAAAAACTGTAATCATAAAACTATACTTTTTAAAGTATTATTTAAAAATACTTACACAGAGATGTATCTTACTATTAAGTCATAATTTCTACTTAGCACATAAAAAATAGGACAATAAAAACTGTAATCATAAAACTATAATAGTCCATTCAAGTATCTCAGAACATACTTGTACTCAAATTTCGCAATATGCCAAACTGCAAAAGATCAATTAGCTAGAAGTGTTTTGATCATTAATGAATGAACACTCATTAATGATCATCATAGATAAACAATAAACTGTAATTTTGAATACATGAGAAAACTTTAATCAGCTCTATGATGTCAATTTCTTGTTGTATTAGTACTTCTAGATGCTGCTCACTTGAAGCTATTCTGCATTCATTCTGTAAACAAATTGCTTCTACTTTAAACTGCAGCAGAATCTTTTACCACTGTTCAGACTTTAGTAGATTAGCAATATTTGAGTCGGATTTTTAATCACTCAAAGGTTAGTAGCCTACTTGGAACCTATGTACAGCTTAAAAGTGTAATTTTTCTAGGGTACATGACACATTTGAAACAACTGAGACTTAGATTTTATTAAAGGTTATGTAAGATGGAGGAAGTGCCATCTAACTATAGTAGAAATGTTGCAACTACTTTGTGGCAATGAGGTCTCATTCCTTCTTGTTTCTAACTATAAGAACAAAAAAGGAGAACATACTATTATGACATATTACAGTAGACATGTATAAGTGCCCTGATACTCACCACACACTTTGCATTCCACAGGGAGCTCACAGTATTTGGCTCTACACTGGGGACAGAAATATCCTCCTAGTGTAAGGCCTGGATCATTACTGTTTTCCAGATGCCTGCACAGAAACATAGATTGTTTCCTGAATAGTTGTGTTGAATGTGTTTGAATTATTTGAACAAAGTGGAAGGAAATATTATATTAAGCTTCCACAGGTAATATCATAATTCTTAAAGAAGTTGTGTTGAATGTGTTTGAATTATTTGAACAAAGTGGAAGGAAATATTATATTAAGCTTCCACAGGTAATATCATAATTCTTAAAGAAGTTGTGTTGAATGTGTTTGAATTATTTGAACAAAGTGGAAGGAAATATTATATTAAGCTTCCACAGGTAATATCATAATTCTTAAAGAAATTGCCATACTTAATGAAATCATAACTATTAAGGGTTTCCATTTTACATGGCATTTTTCCAGCAGTTATACTACATTTTACTGGGAAAATATCAGTCTCCTGCAAAGGATAAGATGCTAAAAAAAGTATCAGGATTGTTCTCAGTTGCAAAATAATAACTGAATTATTGGCAATAAATACATCTGAAGACACTTATAAACCTTCGATTCATTTTTTAAAAAATATTTATACTTTTAGAATGAATAAAAGGGGGCTTTGGTGAAAGCCAATTATGCTTGAAATTTAAAAATATGTAGAAAAGGGCTACATCAGAAAAAATGTATTTGCAGTTTTCAATAATCACTTCCTATTTCTGTTAGCTGAAAAAGCAAGACTGAGTTTGCCTATTACATTTACAGAGAAGATTAAAAAAAACATGTATCATAAGCTGCTCAGTAATCTGACATACCTTAAGATTGCGTCCTATGAAATGCAACATTTAATACCGTCACCTCTTACTTACGCCATGCTAAAAGATGGTTTTGCATCCTGATCAGCCATCAGTGCAATCGTGTGCTGAGGAAAGCCTATGTAAGAAAAAAATATTTAGAAAGATTGATGCGGTCCAAGTTTGCATTCAGGCAAGATATGGGGCATAACATCCTATGATTAGGAAACCACAATAGTTCATGTTCCAATTTATGCAAATTCTGAATGAACAGGAGCATGCAACTTCTTTCAGTACAGCCCTTTCTTTACAAAAGAAAGGACTACACTTGGTACACATGATTACACATTACACATGGTAAAATGAGCTACCATGAAGACATTACATGCTGAATCCAGAAGCAAAAGGACAGGGCAGAATTTTACCTCTGAGTTTCCACAGTATGGCCTGCACTTCCCATGTTAAATAAACAATGGAGTAAACAAAGTTGCATAGAACATTTATGAAAATGCTGTGTGTTCAATACTGAACTCTTAAAAGAATGCTTACCCATTCGAATAAGAGAACTTTCAGAACTAGAACTGGCTGGTGGTGGACTGACATGATGCATCAGGAGTTCCTTATAATGGCTTTCATCTAAAATAACATGGTAAGTTCCTGCCATACAAAAAATAATATAGTAGAAGTTATATCAACTGCCTGCAGATCTGAGCAAGCTTGCTTGATTGCCTGGGAAGAGTGAGAACTGTCCACCTATAGATTTGTAAATACGATTCTTTGCAAATAAAGAAGCTCTATAAAAATGAGAGGTACTGTTTTCTCTGTTGGTCTAGCCAATACATAGAGAATTGTACACAGAAGGAAGAGTGAAACTGTTTCTCATCACTTATCTTTGGACTTTTTGCAAGGCCAATTAAAAAGTAGCAATGAAACAGCTGTAATAATTTAACTGTGAATAGAAAGACTTATATCAATTCTATTGCAATCAAAAAGACGCAGAAAGACCTGGACAAATCTGATTGTCAGATGCAATATATAATTTATAAAAATCAACTACTAGGGATTTTTCACCTTTTTCACTTTATTAAAGTTACCACATGTTCCTTATTATCTTTTCTTGTATTATCAGAAAAAATTAAATCAGTAATCTAATATTTGCTGCATGGCAGTTCAAAAAATACATATTTTAAGTTCCTTGGGGCTACACTGAACACACTTTCCATCATGCTGTTGCTGTTGTCTCAATGTCCTCTATCCCTCCAGGCAGCAATAAGCCACCAGAGGCCCAGGGCTGCAGTCTAGCCCCAAATCTCTCTTTGCAGCACTCAGCATGGTTTTCTGCCAGTTTGATGTTGGAAACACTTTAAAAAAGAACCCTGGAGAATAAACATTAAAATAGCTAACATGGTTTAAAACAAAAAAAAGTCCATAATTTCCCTCTAAAATGAAACTTCTTAAATCACATCACCAATCTCCTTGCACTATACCCCTCCCACTGCCATTGTTAGACATCCAACATCTGTTTAGTGTTGCCCACAACCATCAAAAGTTTTGTCAGCCATGCTTCAGATGCACAAGAGGAGGGGGAATTAGTTTTGTGAATGTTCTCCAGGTTATTAGAAGTTCAGTACCCTGGAATATAATTGATGATATTGCAATAGTATTTTACAGTACATTGGTTATTGAACACAAACCAGAAACACATTAAAAGTATGTTAGAGAATGGTTACAAATCAACATTCTTTATATTGCATGGTCAAGAGAAATACAAAACTTAAAAAAAAAACTTTCTATAAAATGATTTTTGCATCATTTTCTTTGGTAAAAATCCATATATATTTTAATGAATTCATTATATATACAAGCATACATACCACCAGTTTCTCTGGCAAGCACAGTGCAAACTCGAACTTCAGCAGAAAGGCCAATAACAGACACTCGGATCTTAACTGATTTTAAGCACTTTGGATGAAAAAAGACAAAGAAATGAAACACACACACCACCAGAATATAAAATTATAAAAGGAAAAAAAAAACTTCCAATTGTTATGACAACCCAATTAATTATTTGTCAAGCTGGCCCAGCATTCATTTACCATTAAAAATAATAAAATAGAATAAAATTCTGTACCTTAATTAGATCGTATATATTTGAAGGATCGCATGTTGTTAGGCTGCTGAGTATTACTAAAACTTCTCTGCTTGTATGTCCTGGCATGTGCCTAAAGACAGTAAAAGATTGATTTCTAATAGTTACAAGAACAAAATTCAAATACTTACAAAGAAAGTGTGTGTATACAAGTGTGCACTGTTTAGTCTGAGAGTGATAAAAGAGATAAAAACACAAATGAAAAAAATCATATGGGATTTTACAATTTTCCAAAACCATTAATAACAAGAACAATTCTGTAGAGCTATTCGAACACACTCTTACTTAATCTCAGCAATCATACACACCTTCCAGCCACAAAAGTTGCCAGGATTTCCATGTGTTAAAATCCAACAGAGCTAGAGGGAACAAGGTTGGAAAGGGCATTCTAGTGTCTTTATATTTATAATCTATCAAGAACAAATTAAGGCAGCCATTTTGGTATGCAGGCAAGACATAAATTTGCCCAGATCGGATTTAACAAGAAACTATGATTTATCACTGAAATCAAAAGTCAAGAGAAGAACCAGAGCATGTGAAAAAATGAAATAAATATTCAAAAGTAATTAAACTTTTAAATTCAAAAGTAATTAAACTGCACTGCCAATTTTTAGCCCTTTTAAGATTAATTATAATTAGTACAATCTCTTACTGTTATTTTACAATAAAATTCAAAACAAAATTCACTCTTATATTTCCAACATATACTTACTTTAATGTCTGGGTGGCCAAATTTAAGGCATTATACAGAGAAGGCTCTCCTAGACAGGTCATATCTATAGCTTTTTTCAGAGTCGTTATATGTTTCCTTGGGTTCCCTATGAAAAAAAATTAACCTGTCATCATAGATTAGCCTCCTAGGTCACTCCCAGGCTACGAAAAACACTCCCTTGGGAGCTATATTTGGCTGTCACACACTCTGCCTTTAGAAATTAAAACTGCATTTTAATGTACATGTTGTTACAACTTCAAGTGCACATAATATTTGTATCAAAAACAATGGCCATTTCAGGAAGAAATATAAAAGATGAAGATGAAGAAATATGAAGAAACATAGAATCAATACCTGAAAGCTCAGTCAGTTTTTCAGCTCTTTTACTCTTAGTTACAATGATGCCAATCTGCAAGAAATGTATCTGCGGTTAATAGGATTGAAATAGCAATGAAAATTACATCTGAGTAAAAGATGTGATTATATTTCGATAACAGGCAGAGCAGGAAAGTTCCACATACAGAACACTATTGCCCCTCCTTGTATTATGATAGGTATTGCTGGGAAAAAGACTTAACAAAAACAGTTATTACAAAATATTTAGTAAAATGCTTTATGAAACATTTTGTAGTCTGCATATTTAATTCCATTATGTAAAGGAGTTATTTATTGCTTAATTGTGCTATAAAGCCATGGGCTCTGATAATGCAGATTTCAGAATCCTAAGGAATCATTGTTTCGCCCCCCCCCCTTTTTTTAAGTTTCTAGTTTATATGGCTACAAAACAGGCTTGATAGATGCTGCCTGATGAAATCAGAAGCCCAGGAAGAAAGGAAATCAAAGTTAGGGCTTCAGGATATTATCAAGCACTGCTTCTGCATGATCCAGGAAAAGAAATACAGAAAGATTAATTACATTTATGTAGATTGCAGAAGCAAGCTGTTTTTGGTCATTCTAAACAATTCCAGGAATCCAGTTGCAACAATTGGGAAAAAAAGAAAGTATGCTTGCTTCCTCAACTCCAAATGGTTAACTAATCTCTCTCACTTTACCAAACATTAGAAAAAAAGTTAATTACAGGAATGGCTGCCCTACATAATTTCAAATCCTACATGATCCTTTCTTCATATCTTCCATCATGCATTACCTGCTCCCTTATCCAATAACAAGTGTTACTACAGAATTAACATCCACTGGAGCTTTGATTTTTGCCAGGGCAGAAATGAAAGTTATGCTAGTGATTTTTAATCTTATTTTAGTACAACATACATACTGCTTAGACATTTGTTTTGTACTAGAATCTTTTTCCAGGACTCCAAAGCTTATAGAGTTATGTTTAAGACAAAAACAAAGAGAACTCATTTTTGCCATCAGTGTTTCAAAGGAAAGTGTATATTTTAAACAGATGAAGGTTTATTTCTTTCAGTAGCAACAATTCTGAAACTGTATTGTTTTCAACTGTGCACATACCTGGCTTATAGGATTTTGATCAAAATATTCTTCAACAAAATATTCCAGTAACTACAGAATGAGAAACATTAAAACAATCTATCAAATACTATTTTATATCATGCAAATGTATTGATTTCTTTGTATTTCATTATAAAAATGCTCTTCAAACTATTTTTTTAAACGTAACTATAGAGGTTTAAAAATATATCTAGGAGTTATTAGCAAAAAATACTATTACATCTAATCATTATATTTATGAAAATAAGTATACTTCAAGGGTCAGCTTCTTTTCAAAAATTATGTTCCCAGTTCTACACAGCCCACATATTTAGTTAAAAATGATTGTAAGTGGAATTATTGACTGCAACTCTCATTGAATTTAGCAGGACTTGAAATTGAACTGATGTGTTTATAATTGCCTTGTAAAACTAAACACATTTTCTAGGATTAATTCCCAGTGAAATCAAAGGGATTCCTAATATGCTTGAGATCAAACTGCATGCTGATTCACTGAAGCAAAGCAGGTTAACATATAACCCACATGATGGAAAGCTGCTACAATATAGTTATCTTAAATATATAAGTACCAATTTCAATAGCTTCTATCTTGACAGAACAGGGAAAACAATAGTGAGCAATTTACTATGTTTATATATTTCACTTTCCGAATGATCTATTATGTTATTTCTTACCCTCCACTTTCAGTAGAACAAATCTGCCAGTTCATAAAACTAAGAAATGGTCACAGTTCTATGGTCAACAGTAAGAATTTGGGTCTCCAGTCCAAACCCCAGATTCCACTTGTTATACAGATTTTGAGCTATTTTGAATTATTTAAAAAATGATTACCTTTAAGGTACAAGTTAATCTATTAGGTTTTAAATCTTGATCTTCCATTGTTCTTGATCCATCTACTACTACATACAGGTGGCGCATCTGAAAAGATTTTTTAAAGAACAAACAAACATAAAACCAATATTACCTATACTATTGTACAGGTAGTCCCCGGGTTAAGAACGCCCAGGTTACAGATGACCCATAGTCAGGAACAGAACCTACCGTAGCAAAATGTGAGTTAAATACACAATGGTTCGAGTTCATATACTACTTATACAGTATTATACAATAATACTGTTCTGCCCTACATACAAATTCGACTTAAGGACAGACCTTGGGAATGGAATGCGTTCTTAAACTGGGGACTTACCTGTACTCAAAAAATATTAACTTTATGTGGAATGTAACCTACAATGACAAAATATATTGGTTTTCAAAATGGTTGATTCTTTTGCTGTCATTCCTTTAATGCAGAACTACAAACTGCAAACCTGCAATACACTTGTTTAAGATCTACTGAAGTCAAAGCTCCACTGAAAGCAAAGAAACTAATCCTGAATACTAAGCATGGAGTTCAGATCGCAGGTATCATGGACAGATTTTGTGAGGGCTCACCCTAACCTCTTCGCCTGAAGCATTATAAAATACACCTGAACTTGTCCAAGTAATTTATTACTTACCACAATTAAAGGTAAATGGATTGATAATATAACTGACCCTTCCACACTGAAACCCAGGCAAGAGGCTTCCATCCCAATTTTCCTACTTCTTTTAATATGTAAGTTCAATTTAAGCAATTTTACTTTAAGCAAAAAGTTTTTGAGGCAATGAGGAAATGAAAATATACCATCCCAAGTCGAACTTGTCCATGATGTTCAAAGGTTCTATAAAATAAGAAATAAGTATTGTAATGGTTCACGTTGCATGGTCTGTAGGTAAGCTGTTCATATATTTTAATTTGTGCATTTTCTAAAGGATAGATTCCAAGTAATTCATGCCTTGATCATTACCCACCTGGATTACTGTAACACATTCTATGTGAGGCAGCCTTTGGAGATTAACAGGAACCTACAACTGGTCTAGAATAAGGTGGCAGGACTGCTGGAGGGTCAGTTCCATCACTGCAGGGTAACATTTCTCCTGAAATTACTGCATGAGTTACCAGGTCCAATTCAAAGCACTGTTTATGACTGAAAAAGCACCTTAAACAGCATAGCACCAGCATAGCATCTTGACAGAATCAAATCTGTCAGTCCAGTGAGAATAACTTGGCAAGGAGTGAATTGAATACCCGTAAGAAAACAGGCCTGTTTGCTGGCAACCTTCACATCTTGGAACTTTAGC